AAACTTAAAGTTCCAGTAGATATCTGTTCCGAGGTTAGCGTTAACCCTCTTTATGTTGAATAATCCTTTTCAATCCTCCGATCTGACCAAACATGCGCCAAGCAACCATTTTTCAGTCGGTAATACATCTCTCTCCCCAGTTAGTATTATGAACATTTCCGATTCCCTTGAGTCTAATTGCCAACAATTCTCAGTGTTGATCAACCCAGTGAAGGGATTTGATACCGCCATTCTCCAAACTGATGCATGAGAACTCTCCAAAGTACTCCTAGATCTCACTGATGTCTTCAGTCCTATAGGTGAAGATATACATAAATTTCTACTTGAACATTCTCATACATCTACCAAGAGACATAAAACGTTCAAGAGGCAAACGCCAAAACCATCAAAATCTGTTCAAATCAGATACCAAACGCTAAAATGCTAAACACCATACTCCTCTGGAGAGACTCGCAAGAAGAAAACATTTCCTGACCCATGCCAATTCGTTTCTGACTTCTAAGCATTGCAACTTTCCAAAACTGACCAAAACACAAAATCCAGTACTACAGAGACTTCCCCATCAACGCCTGAGAGTCTACAAATTGTTCTATCTCCGACTCCTAAATTACAAGCCATCAACCATCAAAATCAACCTTCAAGCTAATCAAAAACGACACCCGAGAGGAATCACAACACTTGCAAGCTGCTTGCAGTCACTGATATTTCATTGTACATCGTAGAGAGAACGCCGAAAGAAGAGATTATTGATGTATGAAAATCTCAAACTGGAAAACAAGCAGACGAACCACCACCATCTGATGTCAACCATTTACTGTGAACACACATTTTTTACACTTGCCTTTGTACTTCCTTCAACTCTTACATTCCAATAATAAGGCTAGTTAAATAGAGACCTATTTGCATGGAACTATTACGTTTATAGTTAATGGGCAGAATGATATTTCTATATGCGCCAAGAATAAAGTATTTCCCTACCGAAATCAAAATCATTGTTACTATCAATAGACAAATGGTGATAAAAGAGTATTGGCCTTGTTTACTTAACCTTGGAATGTTTCTGATTGTTTTGCTACATAAAAACAACATAGAAAAGAGTATAGCGGACTGCTACACCAATAAGCCTAGACTGTACTCATTTATCTCTACTATCGATGAGCCTCCCAAGCTAGCTGCTATTGCAAAGCTATGGAGGAAAGAGACGAGCGAGAAGGGATACGTTTATTTACGACGTAGCACGTCAGTCGTATGTACAGGAAGGAACTTAGTCATTATAAACATGGCGGATCCGGTAAAACAAATGGGCGTCTCTGATTGGTTAATGTCGGTGAGGTCGCCGCACCTGGTCCGTACGCGAGTTTGCACGTGATGTTGACTAAGCGATGATGTGTCCCACATAACTCCCCCCCCCCCTAGAGCGTTTGTGGGTGCCTGAAAAGGGGAGAAAATGCTCGAAAACAGTCAATATACAACATTGGGAAGGCGGGAGAGGGAGAAAGTATGGGTGGAAAAAAAGAAAACCTCGGAACGTTAGGGTCGGTTAATGTACAAAATCCACAAGTCGAGAGGGGAAAGTAACCCTACGGCCACAACGTGTAAAATGGGGTCGGGTATGGTGAGGAACGGGTTGTAAACCGGTGTCTGGGGAATTAACAGGTACGTGAGAAGGAGTTGGGTGGGTAATCGGGGTCGAAGGGGTATCCGACGTGGGTGTAATCGAAGTTTCCAAATAAGCCGGTTTCAACCTGTCGATGCTAACGGAATCTTTGATACCATTCCGGTCGAGGACAAAAAATTTTGGTTCACGCCGTAGGACCTTGTACGGTCCGTCGTACGGTGGTTGGAGTGACTTCTTGACTGCGTCTACGCGGACAAAAACGAAGGGAGAAGTGTTAAGGTCTTTGGGAATGTGCGTGGATCTATCGCTAGAACGAGGGGGTGTCGGAAGAACGGACCGGAAATGGTCCTTGAGTCGGGAGGTGTACGACAAAGGGTCTACCATCGGCATATCCGGGGAGCAGGAAATCATTTCTCCCGGGAGCCGGAGTGTGGTGCCGAAGACAAGTTCCGCTGGTGAGCATCTGAGGTCGTCTTTAACCGTGTTCCGAATGGAAAGAAGGATGATGGAAAGACGTTCTGCCCAGTTAACACTAGCTGAAGTCGCGATGACAGCGGACTTAAGTTGTCGGTGGAAGCGTTCGACTAGGCCGTTGCTTACCGGATGGTAGGCGGTGGTACGTATGTGTGTCGAACCCAAAAGCTGGTTTAACTCCCGAAACAACACAGAAGTGAATTGGGGTCCTCTGTCTGTAGTTATAACGGCGGGGACTCCGAAAATGGACATCCACGAATCCACCAGTGCCTTCGCCACCGACGTAGCAGACGTGTCATGTAAGGGTACTGCGATTGGCCATCGCGTGAAACGGTCGATGCAGGTTAGGATGTGGGTGTAAGAGTTCGAAGGAGGTAAAGGACCCACAATATCGACGTGAATGTGGCGGAAACGGGCTTCAGGGAGAGGAAAAACGGAGGACGAGCTGCGTGAATGTCTTTGGACCTTGCTGGCCTGACATGTGAGGCAATGTTTGGCCCAATGGCGGACATCCTGTTTTGTGTTCTTCCAGACGAAACGGTCGGTGATAAGCTTAGTTGTGGAGCGAATGCTCGGATGCGACAGACCGTGGAAATGGTCGAAAATCTTCCGGCGGTATGCTTGCGGGACGAATGGTCTCGGTTTGCCGGTTGAAACGTGGCAATGGATCGGAGTATCGGAGTCCGGTAGTGGCAAACGTTCGAATCGTAAGGAAGGATTGTACATGATTTCCTTGAAATCAGGGTCCGACTTTTGTTCGGTGGCCAGGGCTCGCAAATCGAGGGAGGACAGCCCTANGCTGCTTCACTTCCTTGAATGCGGATTCAGCCTCTGGTGTCAACCGGAAGTGCTTTGGGTTGCCTTTTAGCAAATCCGTGAGAGGCTGGAGTACCTGAGCACAATTGGGGACGAACCTACCGTAATAATTCACGACGCCCAGGAAACGGCGGAGGCTCCGGACGGATTGCGGCATAGGGTACTCCAAGATGGCTTGGGTCTTCTCTGACAAGGGGGTGATCCCACGCGCGTCAATGTGGTGGCCTAGGAAGTCAATCTCGTCCAAGCCAAATTTGCACTTCTCGGGGTTAACCGTGATTCCGTAGTCTTGCAGGCGGCTGAACGCTTGTCGCAGATGCTGTTTGTGCTCCTCCGGGTTGGAGCTGGCGATAAGCACATCGTCGATGTATACGAAGATGAAATCTAACCCACGGAAGACTTGGTCCATGAATCGCTGAAAGGATTGAGCCACATTGCGTAGACCGAAAGGGATACGTAGGTATTCGAACAAACCGAATGATGTGATTACGGCCGTTTTTGGGATATCGTCTGGGGCCATCGGAATCTGATGGTAGACGCGGACCAGATCGAGCTTAGAGAAGATGCTCTTGCCATGCAATTGTAACGAGAAGTCGTGGATGTGCGGGATGGGGTATCGATCGGGGAGGGTGATTCTGTTAAGGGCACGGTAGTCTCCGTTTTTCTTTGCAACCATATGTAAAGGCGAAGCCCATGGGCTGTTGGAAGGCCGGACAATACCTAAGGAGACCATGTGTTGGAACTCGTCTTTAGCCGCGCGTAGTTTGTCGGGATGAAGCCGTTGGGCTCTGGCAAAGACGGGCTGTCCATTCGTGCTAATTTGATGTTGTACCCCATGTTGGGGATCCGACATCTCCGTTCGTAGGCGAAAAAGCAAGGGGAATTCGGATAAAACATTCGCAAAGGAGTTTGTAGTGGGGGTGACAACATTGAGACCGAAAGTGTTTAGAGCCTCTGTGGAACAAACCACTTTTAGGGAAGTGACGGTATCAACAAAGAAGTTGATTTCGGGAGATGTTTGAGTTCAGGGAGGGCTGCATGGAAAAAGTGATAATATGATCATTCTATTAAAATTATTATTATTATTCTATTATAAAATAATATATACATAGTTTTAGATTTGGTTATCTGGGAATGGGGAGTTCAACAACGAGTTCTGAAATGGCCATAATGCTGAAAGTCATAGTTCTTTAATCAATTCAAGTTCTAGACTTTCGTAGGTTTGCAAATGTATATTGACAAAAAACATTAATTGGATTTTCCGTCACCTTCAAATTATGGTAAGTTACCAATTATCTAGTACGAACTTGTTATTTACGATATTAATCACAGATAACTTTCACCATATTAGAATTGTAGGCACACAAAAGTTTCATGTAATAATCGACATTAACGTGCAAAAGAAGGAAGACTTTCGTTAATCTAATTGTTTATAAAAAAATTTCTTAAATACTTCTTAATTCATCCTTATTCGAACTAATTTCATAAGACTCCTCATAGAAGGGCCGATACAAAATACACATATGACATAGGCATAGCTTGTGTTCGACAAGTTCCTGTTATTTAAGCAACCTAAATAGATACATTATTGATGAGGTTCAGCCATACAATTCGCCTGAACAATATGTTATAAAATGCGGTTTCTGTTAAATTTTATAAATATACGTTTTCCTAACATATAACAGTTATATTGCCATTCAAGTGAACCTGGATTCGAACAATCGCGTTTTTTCTTCAAACTGTGCTGATTTCCATTTCGAACACATTATACGTTCAAGCAATGAAACAGAAAAGATAGCGCGTGTAATCGTATTACGACAGGCTCAGATTTAAATGAGTTTTTTAATATGTTAAAACCAAGCAGCGAAAAGAGAAAAAATGAGCACATTCTTCAATATTAAAAAGCAAATCGATGATGCAAACTAATAATATAATAAATGGAAAGAAAAGAGAAGTATTACTTAAAAAAATATTATTTTGACTTGATCTAAAGTGATTCGAGTTGATGTTTTCGTATCTTAAATATGAATTAAAGCACCTTGTTTAAGTAGCTAGTTTCTGGCGTTTATCTGGATACGCGTTATTATTAAGCATGATCGTAAGTTCGTTTATTTTTTGTAATGTAATGTAATTAAAGGCTCCTCGTATCATTCTCTTGAAAGAAGGAACTGACACTTCCCAAGGTGTTCCGCAAATCGTGAGCAATATTAATGCATGCCAAGCAATTGCTGATGCTGTGCGCACCACATTAGGTCCTCGTGGAATGGATAAATTAATATTGGATAATAATAATAATGCGACGATATCTAATGATGGAGCCACCATTTTAAAGTTACTTGATGTTGTTCATCCTGCTGCCAAGTCTTTGGTTGACATTTCAAGATCCCAAGATGCCGAAGTTGGCGATGGAACAACAAGCGTTACTTTGCTTGCAGCGGAGTTACTTCGTCAAGTGAAGCCCTATATCGAGGAGGGCGTGCATCCAGCTGTGATTATTCGCGCTTTCCGTGAAGGCGTAAAAATCGCTCTGGAAAAGCTCAACTCGCTCGCATGTCGAGTTGAAAAAAATGCTCCTGAGTAAGAAACTACTTTAGCGCACTTAATACGATTATCTAGAGAACAGAGACAACTCTTAGAGAAGTGTGCGGCTACTGCACTTAGCTCTAAACTCGTCGCTGGTCAAAAGGAGTTCTTTTCTAAACTTGTCGTCGATGCAGTTAAGAGTCTTGACGTTAATCTCCCTATCAATATGATCGGAATTAAGAAGGTTTGATGATAATATTCTTTGTAATTGTTTGATATAGGTTGCTGGTGGTGCTCTTGAAGAATCTATTCTTGTTGATGGTGTTGCGTTTAAAAAGAGTTTCAGTTACGCTGGCTTTGAAATGCAGCCTAAGTCTTATGATAATCCTCTCATCGCTCTTTTGAACATTGAATTGGAATTAAAAGCTGAGAAGGAAAATGCAGAAATTAGACTTAATACAGTTGAGGAATATCAAAAGGTTGTTGATGCCGAATGGAATGTCCTATATGAAAAGCTTTCAATCTTACACAAAGCTGGTGTTAAAATTGTCCTTTCACGTCTACCTATTGGTGATGTTGCCACTCAATTTTTCGCTGATCGTGACATGTTCTGTGCTGGTCGTGTACCTCTTGAAGACCTCAAGCGTACCCAGAGTGCCTGTGGTGGAAGTATTCAGACCACTGTTCAGGGGCTAAAGCCTTCTATGCTGGGGAAGTGCGGCAAATTTGAAGAGATTCAGATTGGTTCTGAACGATTCAACATTTTCAAAGGTTGTACTCAAGCCAAAGCCTGCACTATCATACTGCGTGGTGGAGCCGAACAATTTATGGAGGAGACCGAACGTTCACTTCATGATGCCATCATGATTGTTCGTCGAGCCATTAAAAATGATGCTTTTGTTGCCGGCGGTGGTGCTATTGATATGGAATTAAGCAAGCATCTCCGTGAGCATGCTCGTACTATTCCTGGTAAGGATCAACTGTTTATTTCAGCAATGGCTCGTGCGTTGGAAATTATCCCTAGGCAGCTATGTGAGAATGCTGGTTTCGATCCCACAAATATCTTGAATAAGCTTCGTCAAGCTCATGCCAAAGGTAATTATCTTAATAAGTTTCGTTTGCTTTTGAATGTTGCGATACCGTATTAGTAGCCATGCATCGGTTGTATCGTGGTCCATGACATGGTGTCTTATTGGTATAAGTCTTATGCAAAATTGGAGTATTAGTTAGTTCTTGATTTGATATCGGCAGTTTGCGTTTATATAATCCGCTTTGAATGGAATAATTTCGTTCCTCACCAGTGCGCTGTAATCAGAATTGTTACCCACTTTATTAATTCTAATTAAAATATTGATCTTTAAATTAGTGTTTTGTAGACGTATTTTGTCTTGACCTGGTTCCATAGTATTATCTTGGCTGTCATTAGAAATATGTTATATATTTATTTAATTATTATTTTCTCTTCTAGGTAAAGTATGGGCCGGTGTCGACATATCCACCGAAGATATCGCAGACAATTTTGAGAAATTCGTGTGGGAGCCTGCACTAGTTAAGAGTAATGCTATTACAGCTGCCACAGAGGCTGCCTGTCTGATTTTAAGTGTTGATGAAACAATCAAGAATCCGGAGTCCAAGAACCCAGTTGATGAGACACCAGTGGCTGGTGGCAGAGGAATGCCAAGTCACGGACAACAAAGAATGATGTAATAATGGTGATGTTCTCACAATTTGTTAGCCCGTCTATTTAAACGTTTTTTTTCTGAAAGAATAAATATTCGCATTTAATATCGATTGTCATTGTTGTCTGCTATTTATTTGACTTATCATGATTACGATGCATCCTATCTTGAGCTGGGGTTAATTCTAGTCCAACAATATTTCCCGGGGAAAAAGTGCTAAAAGCGGACAAGAGGTAGATAAGAATATTAAAAGGCACTATTATTAATATTTAAGAGGGAGCAAAGTAGGCTCTAATCTACTAGGTAGTATACTAGCGTTGTGATATCGGCCAATGTGAAAGGGTTAGTTTGATACGAAACCAAAAGTAACAGGGACAATCCCCAATCAGAACAGGTGATTATGTGTAGAACTTCTATTCGAAAGGTAACTATAGTATGCTACTAGGTCACTGGGAAAATATCTTAATGATAAGACAGGTAATGTCGCATTGTGAAGACAAGTTGATACTAGTGCGATTGATATAGTAAACAGTAAGTTGAACGCATGTGATGTCCCTCAAACCTTTGCCATCCCTTAACTCTTGAGTCTTGGCACATTTATTATACCAGGCACTAAAGAGGATCTCGAAGGGGGGAGTACCTTCGAGCGAATGGTGTAGGTTTATGATAAAAACGATTCATTTTTGCTAAAGCAACTCTATTAACAATATATTGATCACTTGTTCGTTAGCTTTGCGCACTCATTATAAAGCCCCAGGTTTTCTTTAACAAATTCTCCCCAATCATATGGAGAAAACAGAATGCATGGAGTAAAAAGCATTTATTACAAATGTGGCCATCTCCAAAACATGATTGGTAAATGCATATATTGAGCCCAACTTTGAATGAATTTTAAGCGTTGATTACCTGGGAAGGCTTTAGTAGCACGACCACACTTGGGTGCGTTATGCGCTACACAGAGTAAAGCCTGCCTAATTTTATTGAATTCTGGGGGTTGTGGCTGTTGGTTGGATTACAAATTTACAACTATATTTCGAGGTATCGTTTCTAGTATCTAGTTTATTTAGCCAGGTATTACATTGCTAAATGCTCACTTAAGAGTTGGTTCTAAAATGAACATAATCATCATAATAACATATTAGAATCTATGAGTAAGAGAATTTGACGAAACAATTAGACCGCAACCTCAATGAACTAACGTGTTTTGGGGTGTTAATAAAATTTAATAATTCTCCCTAATGACTTTAATCTGCATGATTCCACAAAGTGATCTTTACGTGAACGTAGTATATTCAGAATCCGTGTTCTATAGGAGTAGAAATAGGAATAATCTTGAATGTTGACTGAACTTATTAAATGGAATAGGAAGCTATGTCAAACATAAAAAATAAACAATAGGTAAAAGGTTGGCGATGAGCCTGGTCAAATTACAGCCAATGGCAGGGACGACAACCTGAGGTGAGGAGAAGGAATGAACGATGAACGCTCATCCAGAACCAGTGCACCGGTCGTATTGAAAGTCCCAGATTTTCCGGATTTCTTCGTGAACTGTATTGTGCTCTACCATGCTTTTAAGTATACAGGGCAATGAATATTCTCTAACCCACTTTCAATGAACTGCCTAGAATAAAAAGGGTATGAGTATTTGTAAAAAACTCCTATAGTTGTCCTAAAGATGAAGTTTATTTGAATTAACACAATCAGATATGGAAGAAAAATCTGCGTTTGTCAGAGATTTTCTCGGAGATTCCAAATTTTGTAGTTAGTGAATATGGTAATAATCAAAGTTAAGAAAGTGAACTACCGAATTCAAGAAAAAGCTCAAGATACTCGAAAACACTGATTTTCCACGAGAGTTCGGCAAATATTTGCACAAAACTATACATGAGAACTAGTTAGTATCTTTAGGATGAGAAATATGTATATTTATATCGTTTTTCACCTCCTTAAAGTGAAACCAAGACGAGTGCCATTTGCTATAAGTGAATATATGGTCTGCTCGAACAGTTCTGTTGCATGAATAGGTCGGTTATATAGATGGATTTGAAAAAATCTCCTTCAGATCAACTTGAATCTAAGATTAACATAGCAATATTCAACTGGATTATTTCATTGCGTATCCTTAAAATGGGTGGCTCTCCGAAAAATTAATATATTTTACAAATAAATGATATTCTAATTATTCTCTTCGAGCTAGTTATAATTTGTCATGAATGTTATTAAAATAATACAATTAATTATATACTAGACAAAATCTGAAATTTAATCTGCATTTAATGATAATATTTCTCGCTTTTGAGACTATTAGTTTGTAAAAAATGTTATAAAATAATTGGCTAATCAATCTTACCGCGCTGTACAAAGGTATTTTTACGTGTTGTTTTTGCCCACTTAGTTGGGCGAGTAGTCGCATTTGATACCAAAATGGCAAATTGGTCGGAGATTAAGAATTTAGCTGAGCAGCTTAAACGTGTTCAAGCTTCAGAAAGTGCAAACTGTCTTTCAGATCGTATTTGTGTTGATATTGTCAGTTATCTCATTAATTCTGGTCGCCTTCAGATTTATCGTACTAACGACGGTCGCACTCTCCTAACAAAGAATGAACTCTTTACTGAGATTATTGAAGAACTTGATACCCATAGAGGGCGTATATCACTATTGGAACTCGCTGATAACTTGGAAGTTGAACATGCAGTTGTTGAATCCCATGTTCATGAAATGCTAGCAAATTTGGGAAATTATTATGACGAGCAATGTGTTCTTATTGCTGGTGAATTAATGACAAAGAGCTACATCAGACGAGTTGCTGAAGAGATTCGTGATCGCTTAGAATTCCGTGGAGTTATGACTGTCACAGATCTTGCTCGTTCTTATAACTTTTCCTCACAGTTCCTTGTGTCTATTATAAATGAGTACAATGGAACGCTTTTCCAAATACAACGAGATGGAGATAGATTGTGTACCCAAGTGTTTATTTCTAAGCAAAAATCAAAGGTGTGTGGTTATCTTTCAGCTGTTGTCACTCCTGTTTCCGTTGCTGACTGTGCCACCAAATTGGATATTGCGCAAAAAGTTTTGACCGACATCATTGAATCTCTCATTTCTAGTGGAAGTATAAGGGGTTTTCTCACTGCGGAAAGGAGTATCTTTACCCCGACATGTTATCAACAGTCTCAAGACAAGTACATTGTCGATTTCCTCAAACAGAATGGTTATATTGAATGGTCTATTGTTCAGCGTATTGGGATCTCTGATCCATCATCCTATCTTCGCCAGCGTTTTCCCTCAGCTATTCACACCAAAGAGTTCACAATCAACGAGTCTGTGGTCTCACAAATCAAATCTGTTCTTGAAGATGTGACCCCCGATACTCATTGGATTGATGTGTCAAACTACCTGCCACAAGTTTTTGGAGCTCAGGAGAGAGAATGGTTGATCAAACCGCTCATCAATAAATTGGATTATGTCCCACTTGACGGTTACATGTACCTCTATACTGCAACTCGATTAGCTGAACTCGCCTCCTGTTTTGATGATTACATTCGAAAACAAGCTACAGTGGCTGCTTTAGATCAGAGAAAAAAGGTTGGAGCCAAACCTAGCGGACAATCTGCAGCAAAAAATGAAGAGTCAATTATAAAGGCTGTTGATAAGAACAAGGGCAAGACGGGTGGTTTGGGTAGTAGAGCTCGTGAAATTAAAACCAAGAATGTAAAAAAGAAGTACTTTAAAAAGAATGCTGATATTGAAGAGGATGACAATCAGTCCGATATTAATGTCGACTCCTATTTACCTCGAGAAAATCTCCTTCCTCTATTGAGTACTGCTGTTGGCACTAAGGCCCCTGAAGATCTTGTTGAATGTCTTCTTGATCACCTCCTTCCACAGATTCATGAATCCTTCTTGTCCCTTGTCAAGTCAGTTTACTTGCAGACTGCGGATTCGTCTAAAAATCGGGATAAATGCCGTATTGAAAAGGATTCTCTCGTTTCAACTGTTCTCTCCATTCAGGTTGGCCATTATTGTCGAATTATTATTTATTTTTTTATGTAGTAGACTTATATTGCTTTTAAGGGGCTCATATTCCTTTTCAGTAGCGTTTCCATTAGTCTATTAACACTATTTTTTAATCAATTTAGCCAATATAGTGTTAAAGCAGGAGTAAATTTTCCCCATTGATGCTTGCTAATAATGGTAATAAATTCAGTTTTTTCCAATTTATTTTAATTTATTCTAAGGTTTTGGAAACGGAGTGCTTGATATTATGATGAGATTTCAATAGAATGCTGTATGTTAGGAATGGTTAATTATTTGGAAGAAGCCAAGATTAGTTTTCAGTTTTCTTCAAAATCGTTGGCTGGTTGTATTTATTCTTAATTAATACAGGAGTAGGTGGAGACATTTCTTAAGCTAATTATATTCTTTGTTTCTAATTTTTGTAGCTTTTGGAACGTGGAAGCTTGGCAGTTGACGATGCTGATCTTCGAACCCAGTTAATTCGACAACTTCTGCGTAGCGAGGTCTCTACATTTGTTCATCGCCTCTACCTTTTATTTGCTCAAAACTATGATATTGAATGGCCCAAACGAACCAAAGGAGGTGAAGAGATTTCCCCCAGTGAGATAACAAGCCAACAAAGAGATTCTCTAGCTAGTATTGCTAGCAAAATGGCTGCCGGGAGTGTTAAAGAGGCTGTATCGCTGCTTCAGCAAATCAATGCTTGCCTTCGAGCTAATGCAGAACTTCCAGAGTCGACTGGTCTTCCTCTGGATGAGGTTTTCGCCCTGTCTGATGATCTGGCTAGTTGTCACCTGGGTATCAACCTCTCGGTGTCTCTTCTTCGCAGCGGCGCCTCTAAACGCAAGCGAGAAGATCGGGTATTGGCATTTGAGATTGCAAAGCAAACAGAAGAGCAGTTGGTGGCTGCAGCTAAGAGTGACGACGATAACTACTTGGCTGCTGTAACCTTGGCTGGAACGGCTCTCTTTGCCCAGTGTATTGCTGGGTGTCCCGTGCCTGTTCATGGTAAACTGGTTCCCAAGATTTGCTCTTGGATCACAAAGAAGTTGGCCAAACCCCCGAATAACTCTTCATCATATGCCTCGGCGATGAATTTTTTGAGAGAAAGCAAGGCTTCTGAAAAGTTGAACCGATTAACGGAGATTGTGATGCTTGAAGCTAAATGTCATGGTGGCGAGAGTGGAGTTCCGCAAGAGGAGAAAAGTAGCCTTGTGGACGAGCTGGTCGTAGTGGCTTCTGGATGTATTAAAGCTATGCAGGGTACTTCTCCTACACCTACTGCGTAAATACTTTCTTTTTTTCTTTCCTTATTTCTTTCTCTCTCCAAATATTTAATACTTTGTCATTGTATGGAGATTTCTTGTCTTTCCTAATGTTGTCTATTTACCTATAAAAGAGGCTTCGTGTATCAATAGATTTTGGATCGCACTTGTGCTGTCTTCCAAATTTGTATTCATGTTACCGTTTGGGATTTATTTGGAAGGTGCATCTCCACTTAATAGATTTTAATAGGCAGCGAATTCACATCAGTAGCAAATGGGTTTATTTATTTTGTTTCAAATTTTCTCTTTTCTGATGTGCTAATGTGTGCTTGTTAAAGATATCTCGTTCAGAATTGAGTATTTGTGGTGATTTATTCGCATTTGTAATTAAAATCTAATATGGCGATTTATTTCGACCGCATTTACGAGTTATTAATTCTTCCCTTTGGCCCGACAAATAACTATAAACATCTACTTAAATATTTTAAGTAGTTTGTTAACGGCTACAACGATAGGTCACTAGCATATTAGGAATGCTGCTAGCACTGAAATGATTGAGTGAGTTTAGGTGTGAAATAGAGATTAAATACTCATTCGCATTGATCAGGGTACTTCATTTGGTTTCGCTGCATTCCGTTCGACGACTTTGCGTGATTTTTCTTCTAATGCAATGTCACAACACGGTACATTTTGCCCCGTCTCGTGATAACAACAGTGACTTGGATAGTCAAGACAATTATCGAGATTTTCCCCATATTAGTTTTTGTTCACTTGGTATTGCTATTTTGTTTGGTTCACTTAAGTATTTTCAGTATTAGATGAATATCCATTCATGGAAAATTATAAATTTAATCCTAGAAGAGAGAGAGCTGTGCAGGGTTAGAGAACAGAAGAATTCTACGCATAAAGCTGCAGCAGTGAAGTGATTTCATTGGTGTAAGTAAATAAATGAAAGTAGTATTTAAAAGTAGATACAAAGCTCGAATTTAGGAAAATGGGTTGGGAGGAAAGGGATGGACGTCAGCACTGAAGGAGGGAGAGAATGAGACCAAATGGTATACGATAAGGACAGTTGTTCGATCTAGCATTCTTCGTTCGTGTTCATGGGGCGATTGGACTGAAGCACAGTTAGCGGGTACCATACATTAAAGGATTCAAGCTTCGTAATTTGTCAATGGATTTTTTCAGGTTGCATTTTAAAATCTTCCGATAAAGCATATCCATCCGCACTAGAATTGATGAACGAGCGGCATTTAAAAATATCATAAAATAAAGAAATTACTTGAGGCAATTAACTAATATGTCAGCCAGATCTATTTGACAAGTGGCAAAACGCACAAACATAGGCAACATCTACTGTTAATGTCCGTCACATTCATGGACTTTAGGTTGTCATGCTTGTTCAGGAAGTGCCATAACCTTGTGGGACACGTTATCGCTGTATGCGTCATCGTATGCCTGCATGTCTGCTCGCCAGGATTGGGAGGTGCGGCCGTACAACTCTGTGTGCAGCGACCGTACAAACAGTGACCAATCATCAACCTCTGTTTAACCTAATCCCCCATCCTGATCATGAGTAGCTCCCTACGTGTGCACACTTTATCCGAAATATATACTTACTGAATAGGCGTGCTCCGTGCTACACGCCTGTTTCCTTTATAGCTGGTCTATAGCTTAGTTGGTTCTGGGAGTCTAGCTAGATGTTGGCGAATCTGCCATAGATATAAACGCGCTCCGTGCTACACGTCTGTTTTCTTTATAGCTGAGCTATAGCTTAGCTGTTCGTCTAGCTAGATGTTGGCGAATCTGCCATAGAGATTTCTGGGTCAGTCAGGCTTTACTAGCGTAGCAATTCCGCCAAAACCTTAACCCAACAATCTTGCTTATATTTAGCCGAAATGAACACATCCAATAGAATGAACTCAAAACTTTTTATAACATTTATAGTTCATCTTAAAAATATGTCTAAATCGTTAAAGAATGATTAACATTACATTTATTTTGCCCAATTCCTACATTATTATTTATTTTAGAGATATAACAAGACAACGTCAAGTTTGTTGTTTATAGATTCTATTCCTTTTAAAATATTTTATTCCTGTGAAACGATTTTCAGTGCATTCATTTCTACGCATTCTTTTATTTTAAAAGAAAAGTGAGATGAACCATTTAGTTAATCCATATTTATTGACAGCAAATTATTTAGTCACCCAACGGGAAAGGACCATAAATTCCGGCTAAGTAGGCAATTTATTCAAGCGTGAGATCTGTAGCGGATTGCCACACTAATGGCTTTGACCATACTCAGTAAACTCTGCGGCAGTTTCCCCTATGTTTGGAAAGACTCCCAGAACTAGCTACGCTACTGCAAATCTATAGAGGAAACAGACATATCACATGGAGCACGTTTATTTGGGACGTGCGTATGCAGGGGTGCGTGTACAGACACAAGGAGCTTAGTCATTGTATTAATATGGCGAGTTCGCTAAACCAATTGGGGACTATTGATTGGCGGTTGGTTTGGTGCTCTTCGCACTCACGACCGCCCTTATTTCCCACGCGAAGTTGCACGGCCGCACCTTCAAGCCTGTCCGGGTGCCCATGAGATTACTTGTTCAGTCGGGATTACGTTGTGTGCTTTACAGATCTCTGGTGTAAGCTAAATTTATTTATTTCAAATGGCAGACTTTTTGATTGTTATAATTAGACCTTTAACTGACTTCGGGCTTCACAGAGAGGAGTAGGAGCATCAAAGTGGCAACAGGTCGAGATGGGGGGGGGACAGAATAATGATTCACAGATGTAAAAGACAGACAGACTGACACAAAGGCAGAGAAAATGCAGGATGAGTACTGTGGAAGGGGTCGAATACGACATACAGTGGGGTCATGGTAGTTAGAAGTCAGAAGTCAACTGCCGGTTAATAGACTTTTTTGCCGTATGAGTATACGTTGCCCAGGGTGCACCACGTGGAGGTAAGTCTATCGCACACCCCATGAAAGCTAAATATGATCTGCCTTAGCCAAATTTGCGTTATTAGACTTAACGTGTTAGTTGGTCAAATTTGCTTAATCTGTTCATGCTCAGATCACACAAAAGCTCTCTTAAGGTAGAAGATAGACACAACCATCGCCGTCGATAAGCGGCACAAAATTAGTTGAAATGAAAAACTCAAGTGAAAACTCACGGATTATTGTCCTTCAGAAAATTATTTCAAGAATGCTTGATTAATAAGCCGAAAAGTATTCCAGGAAGTCCATTTCAGTGTTGATTACTGAGATAAACAAGCAAATTGTGCCCACTTCAATAGTACAACATTTTATTTAAAAGCAAATAGTAGAAATAATTGGTGGGAGAAAGTGTGCTTTAATTGGGGCGCTCTTTATGAGAGTTTAGCTGAATCTATAATATGAATAAGTGACCTTAGATTTTAATTTATCAAATCAATTACATGCATGTAATCTGACATATTGGTGGAGTGGATAAATAAAATGAGGGAGTGGAGGAATTTTTCATAAATATTCTTTGTTTTCAAGTTAATTGTGAAAGAAATACTTTCTGATCAAATTGGGCAAAAAATTGGATTTAAATTTGTGAGGTTACTGGTTTCGCTGATCATATTGAAGAACAGGTTATAAAGATACCGACCTCTAAAATTTGCAAAACATAATGAGAAAGATCCGGCGGGATCGATTTGAAACAACTCTCATGACAAGCTAACATATGTTCAAGTTAATACGGACTAATTTAACCCTGCCTTATCAATATGAAGAAGTAGAGCTTAAATGTACACATTGAATATGCCCCCAGTTATTTGTTTTAATTGGAACTAGAATTGTGGTGCGGTAGAGTTATGTGCATATATTTATGCCTAGAAAAGAGATTTATCTGATGTAAATAACGAGAGATCTTCAGTAATTCCAATTAATTATTTTTAATTTTGCATTATGCGCTATTGATATTCAAATTTAAATACTGACTATTCTTACTGCCTTGTGTCACGCGAATTTCCGATTGCTTACCCACAACGAGGCAAATGCTCGACGGATATATCGACGTCGTTTTAAATAAATGTCAGTTTCTGCAAATGACAAAGATTGACACTGTGCCTGAATCTGACACACTCGCAATTTAATTCGTCTTAGTTGAAAGCCTTACAAGTGATTGAGCTCTACCCTTGAATGGCCATTTCAATAAGTCATGGGGGACACATTTAGAATGATTTAAAATTTTTCTTGGGAAATCACCTTGAATAGCTCATGGATTGATACTTATTTTGCTCTGCATTGCTTATTATTACTTATCCCTGAACAAAGATGTCCAAGTGGTATTTATAGTGTAGATGTTGGAACTAGATATAAAAAGTTTTAAATGCCCAGCAAATATAGTAGTATCAAAACTGTTTTCCAACCTGATGCAATGAAATATCAAAAGGCTTACAGTTTATACATACTTTAGTAGGAGCGAACGTGGATTTGTTTAACACAATGTTATGATTAAATCCATTATATATATATATATATATATATATTTCATTGGACATTGTGAAAGATGCAACACGACTTGCAGGGGTAGTTAATCAGCGGATAACGTCGTGTTGCATCATTTTAGATACAAAAGGGGTAATTAGGAATTGCCTTTTAGCAAAAGCAAGAAACGTACCTAAATTGAAAATACTATTATTGTAGAACGAATTATTTCTACACCTAATAAATACTTGCTGCATTTTCTTTCAGTGTAATTTTCTTTAACGAAACTTCGGGAGAGTATTGGTACGATATCGATCTAATGACCCTTCCACCAATAGCAAGAAAGGCAGCACTTTGTTCATGCGAACTAGGAGAGTAAGAAAAGCCCAACATTGTTTTAATGACTTCCTAATTAAGATCTTGTCTAAATGTTGTGGAAATTGAGAATCCGGTTGGGCAATCATATTCTCTCCTGCCAAAAATAGTCAACAAGAGCGTCATTACAGTGGAGTCCCATTATGAAAAAGGAGGATCGGCAGTGTTTCCTTTCGATGG